CATACCATACCAATTTATTTATATAGCACTTAAAACAGCAACAAGGCCAACCAAAGTGCTGTACAAAAGAACCAAACATGCACAGCAGACAGGAAAACATAAAATAGAAATACAGGTACAAATAGCAGCAGAAGCTAACTAAAATGGCCAACAGAGTAGAGAACAGACCGGACCAAAACAAATCACACCGTGTTAAAGGCAAGCGAATAGAAGTGGGTCTTCAAGCGAGACTTAAAGACTGAGAGTGTGGGAGCCTGCCGGACACTCAGTGGCAACTCATTCCACAGTCGTGGACCTGCAACAGAGAAAGCCCTGTCACCTCTGAGCTTACGACGGGTTTCTGGAACTGAGAGAAGCATCTGGTCTGCTGACCTCAGAGAGCGCGGTGGGACATATGGCTGCAGAAGATCAGTGAGATAGGATGGGGCGGAACTGTTCAGTGATTTAAAAACATACATGAGAATTTTGAAATGGATCCGAAGGTGAATGGGTAGCCAGTGCAGGGAGGCCAAAACTGGCGTGATGTGCTCTCTATAGCCTGTACCAGTTAAAAATCGGGCTGCAGCATTTTGGACCAGTTGTAGACGAGCAATGGAGGACTGACTGATTCCAAACAGAAGTGAATTGCAGTAATCAAGCCTAGATGTTATGAAGGCGTGGATCACTGTCTCGAGGTTCTTTTTGGAGAGTATAGGCTTCAGCTTAGACAGCCGTCTCAGCTGAAAAAAACAGGATTTGACCATCATGTTTACGTGACTGTTGAGTTTTAAGGACGGGTCCATTATCACCCCCAGATTAGTCACCTTTTGTTTCTCTAGCGGGGCTAGAGAGAAAAGGTCAATGTCATGGTTCATGAGTGAGCCACTGGGATGGAACAGCATGACTTCAGACTTCTTCTCATTGAAGCTTAAGAAGTTTAAAGCCATCCAGTCCCGGATGTCAGCCAGGCAGTCAAGAAGAGGCTGAATAGAGCGTGTGCCTCTGTGCCTCAGGGGGAAGTAAATTTGGCAATCATTGGCATAGAAATGAAAGGGTATGTCGTGTTTGCGGAAGATAGCACCTAGTGGCAGCAGGTATAAAGAAAAGAGAAGGGGACCGAGGATGGACCCCTGCGGTACCCCCCACTGGAGTGCGGTCGATGCCGAACTAAAATCTTTGATATTGACACAGAAGGTTCTGTCAGAGAGGTAGGACCCAAACCATTTAAGGGCTGACCCTGTGATGCCCACCCACTGCTCCAGTCTAGAAATGAGGATATTGTGGTCGATGGTGTCAAAAGCAGATGTAAGGTCCAATAGGACAAGCAGCACAGAATCACCTGCGTCTGTGGAAATGAAAATGTCATTAAAAACCTTCAGTAGAGCAGTTTCAGTGCTATGGAGAGATTTGAAGCCAGATTGGAATAACTCAAGGATAGTGTGATCCCCAAAAAACTGTTTCAACTGAGACTCCACAATTTTTTCCAGTAGTTTAGAGGTGAATGGGAGTCTGGAGACAGGCCGGAAGTTGGACATGACTGAGGGGTCAAGGTTAGGTTTTTTCAGGAGGGGCTGGACAGCAGCATGTTTAAAAGTCTTTGGCACCACACCTGAGGATAAACTGCTATTCATAATAGCGAGGATAAAAGGACCCAGGGTAGGAAAAACTTCCTTTAGCAGTCGAGGGGGGACCACATCAAAGGGGGAGCCAGATGGCTTCATGCTGCACATTACCTGCTCCAGAGAGGACAGAGAGATGGGCTCAAAGTGGTCAAACACAGCCACACACTGAGAAGGGATGGACAGATCATGAGCTGGTGGAGAAATGAGTGCCCGGGTGTTTGCCACTTTTTCTAAAAAGAAATGGAGGAAGTTCTCACACAGCTCAGTTGAGGCTTCCAGAGGTGAAGGCTCACTGAGGTGTAGAACTGAGTTCAGGGTGGAGAAAAGAACTCGGGGGTTGTGGGAGTTGGAGACAATTAAATCAGAAAAGAATTTACATTTGGCTGCTTTAACGGTTTTCTGATAGTGACGCCAACTCTCCCTTAACATTTGAAAAGACACCTGGAGCCTGTCCTTCCTCCACTTTCGTTCAGCTTTGCGACACTGCCGCCTAACGGCTCGCGTGACCTCATTCAGCCAAGGCTCTGATTTAAGTTTTGTTTTTCTGGTCTTAAGGGGAGCAACACGGTCCAGAACATCTAAACAGGCAGAGTTGAACTGAGAGGTTAGCTCCTCAGTGGTAAGAGACACCGAGAGCTGTTCGATCCTCTCAGAATTAAAACCTTCATTAAAACGAGCAGCAGTGAAACGGTTAATGGAACGCGTACGTGCAGGAACGCGCGTCTTAGCAGTAGGACAAGGGGGGGTGAAGTCAAACAATACAGGCATGTGATCTGAAAAAACATTGTCACCGATTTTCAAATTAGAAACAGAGACATTGTGTGTTAAAACGAGGTCCAGCGTGTGACCATGTTCTTGGGTGGGGCCGCTCACCTGCTGAGCTAAGCCAAAAGAGTCCAATAAATCCAGAAAGTCCTTCACCAAGGGCTTCTCCTGACAACACACATGCAAATTAAAGTCACCAATAAGCAAAAAGTGAGTGTATCTCTGAGTGATATCAGCCAAAAAGTCAGAGAATTCATTTATGAAGTCCTTAGAAAGAGGTGGGCGGTAGATGAGCGCACACAGGACCGGAGGAGAGTGTCCAAGTTCAAAGGCGCTCAGCTCGAAGCTGGCGCGGGACACCGGGATGGACAACTGTTTACACGCAAAGTTTGCTTTAAAAACTGTTAATAATCCCCCCCCGCGCCGACCTGATGGCCGCGGGGCATTGAAACATACACAGTCCGGAGGAAGTAGTTCCACCAAGGCGCTGGACTCACCATCAGAAATCCATGATTCTGTGACGAACAAAAAATCCAACTCCTCATCTTTAAAAAAGTCATTGAGGATAAACGTCTTGTTGGAAACAGACCTTGCGTTGATTAAACACATCTTGATATTGTCCGACACAGGCACAGCCGTGGAGGGAGACGCGCGCGCCAGCGGGCGCAGGTTATGAAGAACGGCTCCTCCTGGTCTGCTGGTGCGGCGCACAGGTAAACAACTCCAGGTGTTTCCATGGACTGAGCGCGCGGGCAGCTGGCCAGCAGCCGGGCCCCGGGAGCACCACGGGTCAGAGAGGAGATGATCAGATCCAGAGCGAGTCCTGTTAGAATAATCCACACTTTGCCTCAGTTTCACCAAAATCCCTGCACGCTTCCCACGACGTCTGCGACGTTTCCTCCATGGAGAAAGGCCAGGGTCACGCAGAAGGAACGCAGGAATCTCAGACAGGACTGGTGGAGGAGAGTGCTGGCCGCTGTTCAAAAACTCCGCAGGGATTTCAGCAAAAGTACGGAGCTCCAAAAGTGCCCGACGATCATACTGAAAATATGACTCGGCACACTGCACAAACCATTGTAAAAATAACAAAAATAAAATACAAGCAGAGAGCGAGAGACTGGCAGCCCTACACACCGGCGCCATCTTGTCCTGTGTCCTGCATGAGGAGGGGTGGGGACACCCAGATTCTGTTCAGTCTGTATGGGAGGTGGGACACACAGGGGCTGTTTCACAGGCTTCCTGTTGAAATTACTGTAATTAGACTATATTGGCTTAAAAGCTGCTCTTCTCAGCTTTCAGAAATCAATGGGATATTTCTGATAACACAAACTATTGCAAATTAATGGTAATGCAAAATAAGTTGTTAAAAAAAAAGTTGAATGTCTAAAAGTTCCAGTAAAAGTGAGCAATCTAATATTTAGTTGCTATGGCCGTCATTGGTGGACAACCAGTGAAGCTTGTGGTTTGGGTTTGTACTTGTTCTGTTTCCTACCTGCTAGATTTCTCAGGTATCAGGCTTTAAGGGTAAATAAATAGGGCAATGGATATTTTGTGATAAAAGTACAGTAGGGGAGCGCTACGTTTGTAATGTGTGCAGTTTGGAGTATGAGCTGCTATATCTCCGCTCCCCATCCAGAAATGGTGGGGCTGGTTGATTTGGTAGGCGGGTGCCCTCTTTGAATAATAGTAGGAGAAACACTGTAATATACAGATTTTATGTTTTTTTGCTTAATCCTAGGAATGTAGTCAAATCCACTTAAAATTGCTAGAAAATGCATAGTTTTGAATAGATTATTTTCAAAATGTTCATAGGGTGCAAGCTCCTGGACCCCCCAGTACTGCTTGCTCACCATTACATATAGCTGTACCTCACTGCCATCAGCAGATGTTGGCAGATGGAAAGTAATCATTGGATGTATGTACGGGTAATTGTCCACACATACTGAGTGTGACTGCTCATAACCGTGTTTTAATAATTAACCACAACAGCAAACAACTCATTTATTCCTCTACCTAAGATCATCGGAGTCTGAACACAGACATTAAACGTAGTGGGTGATGTACTGGGACATTTCTCAAGGAACGCTAGTTCTTTATTTCACTGACTATTTTGACTCTTTTTCAATTGGTCACATTTTGTTGTTTAAAAATTGCCTTCAAGATTAGTTCACCGGCAGCACGGTGGCGCAACTGGTAGAGCTGCTGCCTCTCAGTGAGCAGGTCCTTGGTTCAAACCCCGGTCCAGGGGCCTTTCTGGGTGGAGTTTGCATGTTATCTCCGTGCATGCGTGGGTTTTCTCCGGGTGCTCCAGTTTCCTCCCACAGACAAAAAACATGCATTTTAGGCTGATTGGTAACTCTAAATTGTCCCTAGGTGTGAGTGAGAGAGTGAATGGTTGTTTGTCTCGTTTGTCTCTATGTGTCCCTGTGATGGACTGGAGACCCGTCCAGGGTGTACCCCGCCCCTCGCACAGTGATTGCTGGACATGGGCACCAGGGACCCCTGTGACCCAAAATGGAATAAGTGGGTAAAGATAATGGATTGGTTCACTTTATTTGTGAAGAAAACAGTTTTTACCATTATTTTCTTGAAATTTTGTTGTTGTTTACCTGTTTGTTTGTTTGTTTGTCTTAGCCCTGGGCGGACGTGTGGATCGTTTGACAATGAGATTGTGATGATGAATCACGTCTACAAGGAACGCTTTCCTAAGGTGAAGCTGCTGCTCAACTGTAGTCTCATTTCCCGTCAGCGTTCTGTTGGAGCGACAGGAGTAAAACCATCTGTGTTGTTTCTACAGCAGAAGATCTGAACGCTCCTGACGAAGTGAAACGTTTCCAGTCAACAGAATTCATAGAAATGATCAATTCTTTGATTTTCTCTTCCCAGGCCACAGCCCAGATGGAAGGGCGGCTGCTTGACATTATTTCTGAGTACTCTCCAGACACCGCCCTCCCCCTGGCTGACGGAGTGCTGGGATTCATCCAACACCAGCTGGTGGAGCTCGCCAGGGACTGTCTGGACAAGTCCCAGAACGGCCTGGTCACCTCCAGGTACTTTGTGGAGCTGCAGGAAAAACTGGAGAAGCTGCTGCACGAGGTGGGTTTATTTCACCTCACCATCCTGCTGAAATGATGCATATTGTTTTAGTATTTAATCATTTGGCCCTTTTAACCAGTTGTTTTGTCCTTTTGATGAAAATGCGCAATCTTTGTCAGCTCTGACACGTTGTGTGTTAAACTGGGCCACATGGAACTGCAACTGGATTTTAATTTGTTTCTTGGATTCCAGTGCATTTGTTTTAACAATGTTGTCATTATAACTATGTTGTTTTATAATTCATATATTAACATTATTATTATAACTAATGGAAGAGTGAAGTGTATGGTTATTTATTGCAGATTTGCTATATCACAGTTTTTCAAAATAAAATTGGACATGACACAATTGGCTGACTGATGGATGAACCATGGGTTGTTTATTTAAAATAAATTAGTTTAAATGATTTTGCACCGTGTGTGCAGCCCACAAGTGCAGGGGAATCTCCCTCCTGCAGCTGATCAGCTGATCTCCTCCTCTGCCACACGCACACATTTCTACTGCTGCAGCTTTGTGAAGGGTTAACCCTTTGCTGTCCAGATGCACCGATTGACTTTTGTCTTCCAACTTAAAATTCAAAGTAAGTAGCATTGTAAAAATCATCATAATCACAAAATATAAAAGTGTTAAGTTATTTTTAATTATTTTATAACTTCTAGTTGTTGAAGTGTAATTGATCAAGAAGTACATTTCTGCTTTGTGCTGCAGAGCTGAAGCTGAGTGACATCACTTTGATGTCCTGCTGCACTTCTCTTCTTACAATTTAAATATTGTAACATTTAAAATAAACAATCCATGCAGCATGGATGGATGCAGATAATGACGACAAACCAGTGTGGAGCATACAGGATCAAAAACACAGATCATCTGGTGTTGAAAGCTACTGAATAGTAGTGGGTTTTTAAACGGGACTTGAAAACCAAGAGGGAGGGGGCCTGTCTGACAAGCAGAGGTAACTCGTTCCAGAGTCTTGGTCCTGCTACAGAGAAGGCCCTGTCACCTCTGCGCTTAAGACGAATTCCTGGAACTGTGAGGAGCAACTGGTCCGCTGACCTCAGGGAACGTGGTGGGACATACGGTTGTAGCAGATCAGAGAGGTAGGGAGGGGCGACACTGTTCAGTGATTTGTAGACATGCATGAGTATTTTGAACTGGATTCGAAGGTGAACCGGTAACCAGTGCAGTGAGGCCAAAACTGGTGTAATGTGCTCTCTTTTGCCTGTACTGGTTAAAAATTGGGCTGCTGCATTCTGGACCACTTGAAGTCATGCAATGGAGGTCTGACCGATACCAAACAGAAGTGAATTGCAGTAATCAAGCCTAGATGTAATGAATGCATGTATTTCTGTCTCCATGTTATTTTTGGACAATATGGGCTTCAGTTTAGACAGCCGCCTCAGTTGGAAGAAGCATGATTTAACAATCATGTTTACATGATTATTAAGCTTCAGGGAAGGGTCCATTATCACGCCCAGATTAGTGACTCTTTGTTTTTCTGACAGGGTTAGAGCGGAGAGGTCGATACAGTGGTTTGTGATTGTGTCTTTTGGAGGGAACAACATGACTTCAGACTTCTTTTCATTGAAACTTAAGAAATTTAAAGCCATCCAGTCCCTGATGTCAGCCAGGCAGTTGAGCAGCGGTTGAATAGAGCATGTACCATTGCGTCTTAGGGGGAAGTAAATTTGACAGTCATCGGCATAGAAGTGGAAGGGCATGTTGTGTTTCCGGAAAATAGCACCAAGCGGCATCAGGTATAAAGAGAATAGGAGGGGACCCAGGATGGACCCCTGCAGAACCCCCCATTTAAGCTCTTACTCTGCAGAACTAAAATCCTTGATGGAGACACAAAAGGATCTGTCAGTGAGGTAAGATCTGAACCAATTGAGGGCTGATCCTGTGACGCCCACCCACTGCTCTAACCTATCAATGAGGATCTCATGGTCGATGGTGTCGAAGGCGGCTGAGAGGTCCAACAGGACAAGCAGCACAGAATCACCGGTATCTGTGAATCTGAAGATGTCGTTAAAGGACAGTTTCAGTGCTGTGGAGAGGTTTAAAGCCAGATTGGAAAAGCTCTAAGATGGCGTGATCCTCCAGGAAGCACTTCAACTGGGACTCGACTATTTTCTCCAGTACTTTAGAGACAAATAGGAGTTTGGAGACAGGCCGGTAGTTGGAAACGACTGAGGGGTCAAGGTTTGTTTTTTTCAGGAGAGGCTGGACAGCAGCATGTTTAAAGGATTTTGGCACCACGCCAGTGGATAAACTACTGTTTACTATGTAGTGATGTAGGTTTAGGTTAGCTTCAGTTAGCTTAGGAGCTCCACTACAATCAATATTTAATAACGGGTTCTCACTTTTTCGAGCTACTTGACAGATATGTGACAGAGGTACTGTGTTGGAGATGGTCTAATCAGTGACATGAGACGTTAATTTTCTTTGACCCATCAAAATGAATGTGGTCATTTATTTATCAAAACGATTTAAACACATCACACATTTACACATTGATTGGCATAATTGATTACAATAACACAGCTTAATTAATGAGCTTTACAATGAGAAATCATACAGCCATGATTCCTCACTTGCAGCTTGAAACAACAGACATATCCTTAGATCTTAAATTAATGTCTGCAGGCTTTAGCTTATCTTTACTGGCAAGATAGAAGAGTTTTAAAGATGGGAAATGAAGGAGTTTAAATGGAGGGAAAAGATGGATGAGGGAAAGTGTGTTGACGAGGAACAGCACCCTCCATCCGAACCCAGCTCAGCCTCGGTACACTCGGTAGTGAAGCGACTCGTTACCTTTGCAGAAGATAGGTCAGCTCCGGTACGGAGTTCCATTTCAACGCTACCTTTCAGCGTCTCCTTAGGATGGCTGAGAATCGTCCGAAGTAGTGACGGTACTCCGTTCAACAACACGCTCACCTCCCGGGTGGACTCACATGAGCTGTGAGTCCGTCAGAGGTTCCACTCAGATGTGGAAGATTCCATAATCCCAACTAGACTCGGAAGAACTCCCAACTAACTCCAGCACTTCAGAACTTTTGGAACTTCTGTTCTTTTTCGGAACTTCTGTTCTCCCCAGAACTTCTGTTCTCCCGGAACTTCTGTTCTGTCTGGCACTAGGAAGTGTCGACTTTTAAAGAGTTCTGCTTTCGTTCACTTTTGGGAAGTCCTGATTGGTTGAAAGAACCAACAGGGGTGTGGTTTTAGTGACGCCAGAGGGTCACTACAAGTCAGAAAAACAGCGGAGATGTTTAGGAACAGACAGAGAAATGTTTTGGAGAAATGACAGACTTACAGGTGCCAGTTTTCTTGTTTCTGTCTGAGAGGTTTAAAAACATGACAGTTCGTTCCAATAAACTTGTTTTTGACTGTCTCCGACTTTTGACCGACATCACTCCTTTCTCATTTCAGACAGAAGATCAAAAATGCATAATTACTTTGTAACATAGACATTTAACTTGATTTCTACTTTGAATGAGGATTAAAAATCAATAATACTGTTTCACAGTTGATTTAAAATGAGTGGTTCAAAATGATTTGAACTAAACACACTTTTGATTATCAAGACATTTTAAAATAGTAATGATAATATAAAAAAGCGAGTGTTCTTTCAATTGATTAGTTCAGGATACCATTAGAAAGTCTCTGGATGAGCTCATTTGTATTTCTGGATTCAAATCAATGAAATAACAGTTCCTGTCCCATGAAGGTCTTCAGAGGCAGGTCTTGACCGGAGGCTTAGTTCACTACAACTATGTCAAGAATGGATGGACCTAGAGTTGGAACAACCTCCTTTAGTAGTCGAGGGGGGACCACATCAAAGGGGGAGCCAGAAGGTTTCAAGCTGCACATGACCTGCTCTAGAGAAGAGAGAGTGATGGGTTCAAAATGGTCAAATGGAGCTACAGATTGAGGTGGGATGGATGGGTCATGAGTTGGAGGGGAAATGAGAGCCCGGGTGGTCGCAATTTTTTCCAAAAAGAAATGTAAGAAGTTGTCGCACAGCTCAGTCGAGGCTTCCAGATGTGATGGTTCAGTGAGGTGGAGAACAGAGTTTAGGGTGGAGAAGAGGACATGTGGGTTGTGAGAGCTTGAGGTAATTATATCAGAGAAGTATTTGGATTTTGCAGCTTTCACTGTTTTCTGATAACGGCGCCAACTGTCTTTAAGTATCTGAAAAGAGACCTGCAGCCTGTCTTTCCTCCACTTTCGTTCTGCCCTCCTACATTGCTGCCTAGCGGCCTTGGTGACGTCACTCAGCCAAGGTTCTGCTCTCAGTTTTGATTTTCTAGTTTTAACAGGCGCAACATGATCCATAGTCTTTAAGCAGACAGAGTTGAACTGAGATGTCAGCTCCTCCGTGGTGGTGAGAAACACTGGGGGCTGAATTATCATTTCAGAGTTATAAACATCTGTGAAATGTGCAGCAGTGAAGTGGTTAATTGCCCGGGTCCTACGTTCAGGAATGCATGGCTTAGGAGTTAGATGGGGGAGGGTGAACTCAAACCGGACTGGCATGTGGTCTGAAAAAACATTATCACCAATAACAAGATTATTAACAGTAATATCATGAGTTTAAACAAGGTCCAATGTATGTCCACACTCTTGGGTGGGACCGTTTACATGCTGAGTTTAATTAAATGAGTCCAATAGATCTAAAAAGTCCTTAACCAAGGGCTTCTACTGACAGCACACGTGCAAATTAAAGTCCCCAATAATGAAAACATGCTCATATTTTGGTGTGATTTCAGCCAAGAAGTCAGAAAACTCATTTATGAAATCTTTGGACCGAGGTGGGCGGTAGACGAGTGCAAATAAAGTCTGAGGTGACTGTCTGAGTTCAAAGACACTCAGCTCAAAGCTGGTGCGGGAAACTGGTATGGGCAGTTGTTTACAGTCAAAAGTTGGTTTGAATATTGTTAATAATCCACCACCGCGCCGGCCTGATGGCCGCGGTGCGTTAAAGTACAAACAGTTCGGTGGCAGTAATTCCATCAAGGCGCTGGAGACATCCAAGTCTCTGTGATGCACAGAAAGTCCAGATCGTGCTCTTGAAAGTAGTCCCTGAGGATAAAAGTTTTGTTGGTAACAGATCTTGCTTTGACCAAACACATCCGGATATTGCCCGAAGTGGAGCTAGCAGCGGTGGAGTTAGCGCGCGCTAATGGCCGCAGGTTTTCAATAACAGCCCCTCCAGGTCGGTCCGAGCTGAGCACCGGCTGACAACCCCCGCTGGCCACCCGGTCCGGGCACACAGAAAGCTGGCGATGGAAACCATGACCGCTAGCTGGAGAGGATAATGCAGCACGCAGGGCTTTAAGCTTTACCAGCTGACCAGCACGTTTTCCCTGGCGTCTGAAACGATATCTCCGGACAGGCAGGTGAGGAGCACAGTGAAGGTAAGCTGGCACGTCCGCCAGCAGGGGGGGAGGAGGGGGGGGGTGTCCAGAGGTACGCTCATATTGTTCAAAATAAGCAACTTCAGTGGCAGAAAAACGAAGATCCAAAAGTTGTTGTCTGTCATACACCAGCAGAGAGTTGATGTCACAGATGAGAAATGCAAAAAACAAAAATAATCCGAACACCATCAGCAGAGGTGGATTGCAAGCCATGTACACGGGCGCCATCTTACCAGAAGCTATGCTTTGCTGCTCTGTCTGTCTGTGAAACTGCTTGTGAGACTTTCTTGCATTTCTTCTGAACCATAATTATGGACTTGATTTGATCAGTTGATCCCTCAACACAATTTACAACATTTCTTCGAAGAGAAGACAGGCTTTAGGCGAGTCGATTTGCCCTGTTGGCACGCAGCTGGATATCTCATTGACTTGAAGACTTGATGATGTGTCTATCTCTGCTGCCATTTGTGAATTTTAAGGACGCATTTTTAATTGGATTTAAGATAACTGGTTCCTGCTTTTTAGATTCGGCTGGTTGCTGGTTTTATCTACAATCAAGGAAGTCGTCGGCAGCAAATTTGGACCCGATCACGCTGCTTGCCTTTATGATGGCTTGGTTCGTGCCTCGAGTACACAAATGCTTTGGGCTGAATGGATCAGATCTCTGGGATTTTTCTGTCACGTTCCATTGGTGTGGCCATGTAATTTGGACATTTTGGAACCGAGTGGACCAACACAGACTCAAGGTAGACGTCATTAAGTTCTGTCTGTCCCCAAAACAACTGTGTGTTTATCTGAATTTGGTTCCCTTGGCTGGTCTTGAAGGCCATCTTATCTGAATTCGCCTGGAGAACGTGATCTGACGCTCACCACCCTCTCCCTGAGGAATTTCCAACTGATAACCAGATGAAACCAGCTGAATAAACTTTGTGTCATCATTTCAGGACTCTTGGATTCTCTTAGTCGTTATTCTTGGCCATTCCTCGACATACCTCGAGAATGATTATGGATCTCACTGGAGGATACTGGCTGATTACATCCTTATCAGAACTCTTACAGTGACCTCGAGAGCATCTATGAACATGCTCACCGCTCGTCGTCCCCCTCTGCAGAATGTCTACGTCACTATGTGCTTGTTTGTGCAAGGTGTTTTTTAATATCAGTTTTTTCTTCTCAGGCAGGAAAAAAAATGTCTGATAGGAATTTTTTCGCCTCCACTTCCTACATGTGTCCAGCTTCACTACTTTTTGTCTGTCTTAACAGATCTCACTTGTAAATGAGTCTTCTAGCCTCATTGTGATTTATCTGTCTAAATAAAGGATGAATGAATGAAAAAATATTTTACTGTTTACAATATATCTTTAAGTTTCAAATGATGATTCACCACCTAGTGATTAAAATGCTAGCTGAGGATGCTTGTTTGTGCATCACACTAGTCCAGTCTGCACTTCCGGTCCGACTGTGAGGAACTTTGCAGCAGGAGAGGAGTGGAGCACACACAGAACGGGCAGAGAGCACAGAAGAGTGGCAAACGTGTAAATCAGGCTGATGCACCCTCAGCAGTGATTTTGAAAGACTGAAGATATAAGAACTGAATATCTGCCAAGCTGTTAAAATAAAAGCCATAATGTTACATTTTTGGCGAAAGTTAAGTCAAGTTCATTGTCATTCGTATCATATGTGGTACATGAGGTGGAACAAAATTGTGTACTCAAGGTCCCAGTTACATCCAAAAATAGAAAAAATGTAAAGTATAAAAAGAAACAGTATATAAGATAAACACTAAGATATACGCTAAACAAACGCCAAACGGTACGCTAAAAGATCTAAGATGATATTCACTAAACACTAATAATGTAAAACAATAGTAACAACAGCAGCCCGAACATGAGTCTGTGCTGACCAGGTGGATATGAATGAATACAGCAGCATGAGATCAGCAGCAGCATGAGATCAGCAGCAGAAAGATGGAAAAACAAGGAGCTGTGCCTCCCCTACCCCTGTAAGCAATGGAAAGGGAAAGAAAAGTTCAGATGGTGTTCTAGCTAATGATGATGATGATGAAGTTAACGAAGAAGATCGTCTGGAGGATTCTTCTGCCCAGAAAACTTTAGCTGCTGCTTGTTAATGTGAAAGCAGCAGGTCAGATGTGAGAATTCACACTTATCTTTAGGGAGATCAGAGCCTCTTAAGTGCAGAAAAAATTTTAGTGAAAATATTTTTTCTGCTTTAATTTCTTCCCTAAATATGCTGAGAGTGTCTCTTGCAAAGTCTGAGGAGGAGGAAGAGGATAAATGGTAAATGGACTGTACTTATATAGCACCTTTCTATCTTATCATTCTAGAATTGTGCGCCCGGTGTGGCTGCATGTTGGAGCAGCTCTGTTACTTTCATTCTGAGATTTTGCTTTTGGAAACTAATTCCTGTTTTTCTGGATGTAAATCACATTTTTGGACGATTGTTTCCTCTGGTATCAGATGCTGTTCAGCTGGAAGGATTTTTACTGAATTTTTTTACTTTTGGGCATTTGTTATGATGCGTAACCATGGCAACAAGGTGGGTGTGGTTTTCTTTTACAACCAGAAGCAGCTGATTAACATCTCAAAAGCTCAAATGATCAACTACAGCCCCAAATCTCAAATGAGTTGAAAAGGAGGCTCCGTGGATACATTCCCGTCTACCTGCCAGCTATGTTCGTGTGTCTGACCACTGAGATCCTGGAACTGGCTTGAAGACTAATCAGAGCTTTATCATATTCATACACCGATGGGACACACATCAGAGGCAATGAAGGCTTCAGTGTCTTGCCCAGGGACACTTCAACATGTGACTGCTGGTGGAATCAAACCCCCAACTTTCCCAGTGGAAAACAACTGCTCTAACCACTCAGCCACAGCCACCCCAAATCCCCAAGGATGAGGAGAACAAGGAAGTCCTACTCCAGCAGCTCGAGATTAGTTGTCTTCTTTGTTGTAAAGGTTGTGGACAACCAGATTCTGTCGAGAGGTTGTCTGCTGGACTACCTGGGACATTTCCTCATGTCTACCCCTGCCTGTCATCTTATACATCAGCTCATTTGACAGATATTGAGCTAAACATTGATGTGGTAGTAGCTGATAGTCACTCTCAGCACAAATGCTAAGTGGTAAAACGTCATGCAAACTTTCATTATTGCAAGAGGTAACATTTTCAGTTTTGACCAAAATGATGTAACTTGTCTGCTGTCGTTAGATGAATAAAGTTTTAAATGCTGGCACAAAAGATGGTGGACAAAATATATTCCTTGGAGGAATGCTAGGCCTTTAATTAACCTAAAATCTTTACCAGTCGTTCTGTGTCTACTGCTGTTGTTTAACAATGACTAGGTTTACTTTAAGACATGCAACTCCTGAAACAACTCGACAAATCACAGATTTTTAGTTTAAGACAATCAACTAAATGCCCAAAATACGAGCGAGCAAGCTCCCTGAGCTGTAACTGGATTATGTTCCAATAATAATCCTAATCCTCTGTTTGTCCTGTTCAGGCATATGAGCGTTCGGAGAGCGAGGAGGTGTCAATCATCATCAAGCTGGTGAAGAAGATTCTCATCATCATCTCCAGGCCTGCCAGGCTGCTGGAGTGTCTGGTAAGATTTACTGTCAGGCTGCATCATGAGACCTGACTGAACCTTGTGCTGGTTTTAGAGGCTTAACCAAAACATCTCCTGCCTCATGAGCATGTGTAACAGCTGACTCATGCACACTGATGATATGCTGTTTGTGCTGTAGCAGTTACCCAGCTGAGGAACGTAGGAAGCCAGCAGCACCTTGTTCTAATTCACACAGTGCTTCTGTCATTTGTGGCCTTTAATTTTGAAGTGACTCTTCAGAATATGACATTTCTGATCATCAGTGCAATTATCACATTTTTAATTTTGATTTATGCTCCAAATGATCTCAAAAAAGTCTAATTGACCAAAATAGTTAAAAGCATTTTGCAATATTTTGCTTTGCGAGGATACTTTGTTCTCGTGTAACCTTCTGAAAGAGCAACAACTCTGCCCCCGCTGCTTCCACTTCCTGTGTGTGAGATGAGCAGGGGGAGGAGATGAACACTCTGAGCTCTGCTACATTCAGGAACCACAACATTTACCACAAACAAGCATGTTTAGAGAAGATCAGTGTCTATCCACCTTATTGCTAGCCTCCATGCTGCCTTGCTTGAATTATGGGCGCAACTTCTGGCGCGGACCAGAACCGGCATTTGTTTGTGTGAACAGAACGATCTAATGTAGTTTCTCTGAGCGTTGTGGATTTAATTGAAACATGTAGGAACACCACCTGTCAGAGCTCAAACTGGACGATGTAATCATACCTGCTGAGGACGAGGGATGGAGGACGAGCTGAAGAAGTGGCTGCAGAGAACATCTACTAGCAGATTTAGCTACTTCATTGACTCTGTTCATCCGATGGTGAAGCGATGAACAACCTGAAAAGATCTGAGGTGTATCAGTATCTACAGTAATAAGGTCGGTGGTGTTTTGTAAAAAGAGGTGGGACACAATCTTATTGACCTTAAAGCAGACACAGAGTCCAGACAAAGCATTAAAGTCCTCCATCACTGAGCTTGGGTTCATTACAGAGAAAATCATAAAACTGAAGATGAACAAATATTATAAAGCTCTGTCCTCCATACACTTGAAATCAGACCTGATGTTCTCGTCACTGTTTTCAATCCTTCTGAGGATCCGGCGTCTCTTCTCCGGTGGTTTATTGTCGTCCAGACACAAAGTAGGATGCAGATTTTCCCCCGTCGGACGTTTGTCAACAAAGTGAAATGAGCACAGACAGAGTTTTAGGTGGTCTCTTTAAGTTCATATTTTTCAGCCACATTCTTCTTAATTCCTCATCTGTAGGTAGAAGATGAAACTATAGCTCTTTTCACTGGAACACTCTTTTTGTTTTGGTCCTTGTTCAAACTCTGTTGTTGTAGCCACTGATTTAATTTGGTCTGATTGTTCATGAAGCTGTGAACACAGCAGGTACCTGAACTCAGCACGGCTATTTTAGTAAACTTTATAGTTGTTAAATAAATGTAAACAAAACAAAAAACAGAGTTTTATCAGCTAAACTGAATGAATTGGGGCAGGGCAGGGAATGCTCTGGATATAGTGGGGATGTCTTGGTTGGCACATGGAGGACTGGGACTACACTGGTGGTGTGGCAGACTGGGACCATTTTTTAAAAGGTGGACTGAAGAGTTCCAACTGTTGAGAGATCACACTTGTCAACATTTGCTACTTTAGATCTGAACGGCCCTTTAAGCAGAAAATGTTCCTTTTTTTTGTTTGTTAGATAAAAAAAAATCTATCAAGTAAGATCTTTATATTCCATCTGCTGCAGAGTTGTTTTAACAGCCAGTGCACATTTGGTACAGTTTGAATTATCTTGACAAAATGACATTGTCATTTAAGAAAACTTAGATGTGATGGAGTACACCCCACCAATTATCCATCCATTATCTTTACCCACTTCTTACTTTTCGGGTCGTGGGGGTCACTGGTGCCCATATCCAGCAGTCACTGTACGAGAGGCGGGAGACACCCTGGACAGGTCTCCAGTCCATCACAGGGACACATAGAGACAAACAAGACAAATCATTCACACTCTGTCTCACACCTAGAGACAATTTAGATTTACCAATCAGTCTAACATGCATCCAACATTTGTCAGTCAGGTCATCTGAACAGTTTCTTTTTTTGTGCTGAAACATTTCGCCTTCGATCCTGAAGGCTTCATCAGTCAAGGAAACACACAACAAAACTGATTCTTCCCCCAACAGCTTACTCCAAAGTGGAACAAACCAGTTCTGCTTGTGATTATAT